GTGCCAAACAGATCTTTCGGACGCATATTTTAAGTTTTGAAAACCATAAAACGCCAACAGATGCTTATTACGCACATATTTGTGAAAGTTCGCTCCAACTTCGCATCACACAGGCATTACTCATACAATGCAGGCATATATATGTTTTAAACTACCTTCCATCATGTAAACAACGAAAATATTGATGTAACGTGGTATTCAAACGAAATGTTCAACATTCGCCGCAAAACGGATAAACTGCATGAGCGGTTCCGAGTTCTGCAAGAAAATTGAATTTATCTCTTGTCGTTTGTTTGGCAAAGTCTAAACATTTATTTTTGCAGCGTAAAAGCTGGTCGCTTCTACTTTCGGAAATGCGACTATATGTTAGGAGTGTGTTTACCTCGGATACTTTGTTTTCCTTTAGTTATCTTCTATGAAAATAAATCCCAGAAACGCACTTAATTAAGTTTAAATTCAAAATAATATAAGAAGAAGGTTAGTCTAAAATGTAGCAACTTTGAACTTCAATAAATAACAATTTATGGAAAATCGTGGGTCTTTAAAATAATGAACTAAAAAAACCATAAATTTTAAAAATATCCAAAATTTTGGTCGGTTGGCAAATATATATTTTTTTGTTTACGGATACATAAGAATAATAATTATTAACAATAAATTGCACTTAATAAAGTTGTGAAAGTACAGGACCTCAATATATCTGTGAACAATTCATTTTGAAAGCACAGTCTCCCCAAAGACATTGGCGTTTTGGTAATTTTTCAGGGCCGCGGAACCTTAAATTCTTTTTAAGATCTTGCGTCTTACTGCACATGTTCCTAAAAATCTGCTATGGAAAGAGACTGGGTCTTAAATTTCCATGTCCCTAAAATAATGTTTTAACAATTACCACTCTATACATATATTACCACGTGGCAGAGCTAATTAAACCAAATTAAACCAATTTAGGAATATATAGAACTAAATAGATGGCCTGGAACTAAAATTGTATATCATGTGTATCATCGACCCCTAATTTTTTGCAAATGAGCAAGGAAACGTCGTAACCGTGAATTCTCTGCACTACCTGTGACGTGACACAGATGGACTATTTTCTCTGGGGAAGACCGGGGTTACGTGAACAAACCACAAACAACTGACGCTCTGAAAGATGAAATTCACTGCTGCATTGGCGAGATAAGGGAAGCTTTTTTGCAAAATTTGATTTAAAATTTTGCGAAAAGAGCGGACGTTCACCAACGTCCTAGGCGTAGATGTTTGCCCAACATCATACTCCATTATTAATTCCCATATTTCTACTTAAAAAAATCATATCCTAAAACCGAGTTTGTCTAAAAAAGTTTGTTTTTGAGTCAATTTACTTACTAACCTCAAATTTGCCCACCCAATAGTATTGATTTAAATTAGGGCAAATATTGTTGTACATAACCTTTTATATTGTACTTAACCAGCTTATGACTCAATAACTAAAAAATCTCCACTTCATATTAAATAAGCTTAAAGTCTTAACCAAAGTTCCAATGCCGGAAAACATTTCATCAACCAGACGTGTCTACTACCCCGAAGAAATTTCTAATTAAAAACTTAATTAAAATATAAAGATTAAATATTTACCACGGAATTTACCGACAAAAGATGTACTTCCGTAAAGAAAGTTATTCCACTTATCTCAAGCATCAAAAGAAGCAAGAAAAATCAGAAGTTGTTCCCTCCTTTTAAACATTTCAACTCAGTCGGTCAATTTTTTATTTCAAGCTGCACATCCAGGCAACAGGCGTTTTTATGGTTTCGGGTTAATCGCTATCTGTTTTTGTCTTCGTTTTCGTCGAGGACAAAATAAGAATATGTATTCCATTAAAAAAGAGAATAGGGATTATTTTCGGAATTATTTTTAACACTAAATTTCTATACAGAATGTATAATACAATCCTTGATTAGTATTTTTTGTACATCAAATTGAAAATACTAGTCATATACAAAAAGGGTCTTTTCTATATTCCATCGAATAGTTTCTTGTCAAGCCAAAACCCATTCCATGAAATTCCTACCAATTGCGAAAACAATTCATTAGAAAAAAAAGTGCGCATTATTTCATTTACTTTTACTATTATTTCTTTCGCGATTTCCACTTAACGATATATACACATAAAATAAATATAAAACATACAAGCTGTTTCAAAATTTTATGGGAGAGTTTGTTAGCCAAAAAAAGCCTGATTTTCACATAAACATATATTCTAACTTGGTTCGCTTTCGAGATACAGGGAGTCAAAGTTTAAAGAAAATTCCTTTTCTTTTTTTAATACTCAAAAAGCTTTTAGCCCATTTTGACCAAACTGACACGCTTATTTGTCATTCTAAGGGTCTTTATTTTATATGATTATAATACAATTATTCATTTCGGTAGCTAATTGATATTTATAGGTAAAATCATGGCACTAATATTTTGAGGATTAAATTGCTTTTTTATATCAAACCAAAATAGAACTTTTGAATTTTTTCTTTTTTCGTGTCTAACTTTATTTTTTTAAATGGAAAATCGGGATTTTCCTTAATTCTCTGGACGAAAAAAATGTTATAATAACGCGATTAATCAGTTTTATTTAAATAAAAATTTTCAAAAATTTACTAAAACTAAGTTTCATTAAAATAATTTTTAAATTGTTTAAATAATTAATAAAAAGTCGAATTCTTCGGACAATCAAGGAACCTGCAGATTTATAATTTTTATCTTGAAGACAAAAAAAGATACAAAACAAAAGGAATGAACAAAAAAAATTTCGTATTCATTTGATGGATCTAAAAAAACTATTAAATATTCAAAAAATTCGTAGCGTACCATGATTATAGCAAAACTAGATCATTCTCTGAAACGTTAGTGAAATGAAGTAATTTATTTTAATTATGCAAAATAAAGACCATTTCAAGGGCAAATAACAGTGTCAAGTTTTGTCAAAATCAGCCAAAAGGTTTTGAGTAATTGATATGAAAGAGATTTTGTTCTATAAAATTTCACTCCTTGTATCTCGAAAGCGAAGCAAGTTAGTACATATGCTTACATGAAAAAACAGACTTATTATGAAATACTCTGTAAAATAAGTAACTGGAGCACAAAAGATACAATCAAGAAAAAGCAAGAAAAGGAAATGACGGGTTTAGTTGTAACTATAAGAGCCCGGATTAGTATGAGGTTATAGTACATTGTCTGTAATTATTAATTAGAGCATTAAGCACGTAATAAGTAATCGGTTATTCAGTGGACTTAAACTGTGATACCCATCTCGGGGTTTTAGTTCTTCTGGGTACAATATGCTGACTATCAATGTTTGCTGCCTTTCATTCAAACTTTGAACGAGTGTTTTGGCTTGCTTGTATTAAATTTCTTAACTGTTGACAATTGATATTTGACAAATTTGAGTTCAGATTTTTTACATTTTGAGGAAATTATATATTACTATACTATTACCGGCCCAACTTTGAACTCTAACCAAAAAAACTTCCTAATAAAAAATAACAAGAAAGAAGAGATCCAAGAAGAAGGTGTATTCCCGTCCCGAACTTCACGCAAGGCAGTGAAATGCATTGTTTTTGGGCTTTAAATACATAAAATGAAATATGACAAAAAAAAGTACCATCCGGTTGAAATTTGCGTTACCGCCAGCATAAGGTGTTTTTGAATAAGTGTCTGATATTTCACAGCCCAAGTATTTTTAAGACACAAAATCAAATCTTTCTTTAATGATTTTGTTTTTAAATACTTTCGAAATAATTCTTCGTAATAATTATTGCGTTGAATTTAAATTACGAGAAGGGCTTGTTTATGCAATTAAATGTACTAACAAACAACCATTTCGAAGTGCATGAGAACGGTTGGCAATGTAAACTGAAGAGCTCAGTGTTTTTGTATCCTGAAGTTCAGATAGAAACGAGTAAGGCATATCGTTAAAATCAGTATAAATCAATAAATTTTCTTCCAACATCCCTTAGCAAATGCATCGAATTTCTAAAAATTGACATATTGGAAATAATTGATACCTCTTAATCGCTTCAAAATCCTCGAAAGTATAGTATTATATTTATCCACTAATTGGAATAATTAGATAACCTGATGTAATTGAAATGATGCCAGAATTATTATTTCAAGCAGAATGAAATAATGGTAGTGTCTATTATAATTTAATTAGAAACAGTTTGCCTAAGGATTAATTAAATCAGTTAAATATGACCATTATTAAACGTTTGGAAGCAAAAGCAAACCACAACCCATAAATCTAATTTCTAATAGTTTCAGCATTTGGGGTGAAACGCTGCCCAGTTTTCATATAATTGGCTTTCCGACAAAAGTCAATCGTTTTCTGTTTGATTTGGTATATTTCCTCAAAATTAACTTGGAGCAATTTCGACATGTTATTTTGTACTTAATACGAAAGTTAATTACTAACCCGAATTAAATTTGCCAACGGCTCACTTTGCGTCAAAGAAAAAAGAACAATTTTCCTTTCGAATTATCTTGACGTCTTAATATTTCATCTTATTCCGTATTTCAAATCTTAAAACGATAATTCATATTTGGGTCAAACCTCTTTCCTAATATTGAACGATCCCATTATTTAGACTAAATGATATGAACATATATTTTATCATTCGGTTTTTTATGTTACTGAGATTTTTCTTTTAGTTATCATAAAAGAAAGTATTTGACACGGTCAGTCGTAGGCGGAAAACATCTTTTTCCATTTCATTTGAAATTAAAGTGTAGACGTATTTTTATATTACTTTTGAACACCTTTTATTTCTATTTTTTGCTAACCCCAATAAAATGCCGATTTTTATTTTTACCAGATAAACACTAAAGCAATCAGAATTTTGAGGTTAAGATGGGAATTTTATCTCTGCATTTTGTCGTAACCTTCAAAATTTTTGGGCAATTGAAACACATGTTTTTTGCATAAACCAAAGTTTAACTGAAGAATGTAGCTAATCTTAAATTTATCTTACAGCCTGGAATGTATAAAGAAATGTTGATCAACCTTACGATGATTAAGTTCCTTGAAGAAAAGAAGAAGAAAATTACTTCAGAAATCAAATTTAAGAACAATGGAAGAATGAAGATTTTTTTCCAGAATTCAAATTGATTTTCATTTCAAAAAGAAATTCGAAAACCTAAACCAACTCAACTCAACACAAAATGTGAGTTTTTGTAGTGTAGTGTAGTGTAATGTAGTAGATAAAGAAGTCTAGTGATATAATTATATGATAATACAGGCACTTTTAAAGCTAAAATAGGACGAATAGGATATATCATTTGAAATCTCATTTTCCACCTTGCGATGTTCAACGAAAAACTTGGATATTAACAAATAGACAATTCGACTGTTTTCAAATTCGATGTGGAATTTTTTCAGCTGTATTTTGTCAAAATGTGCCCAGATCACATTTATTCATTCATTCAAGCAAAAAAGAGAGTTAAGAGTATTTGTTTACGAAGAAATGGCGAAAATGCAGGTTTGAATGTGATATTCAGAGGCATATGTGGAAAATCTTTCCCTTCTGAATGAAAATGTCACAGCCGTCTGAGGGGCATCGATTTTACTATATGGTCCACACTTTAAGCTAAGGTTGTGTTGCATCTTTGATATTTTACAGGTCTAATTGTTTTAGGTGCTGTTCAGATTCCTCTTGAAAAGTGTCATAGAAAACGTATGCGCACACTTAAAAATATCAAGCCTTCATTTCGATTGGGGCACTTCAATATACTTTCCTGTGCACACTTATTATTGTTATTGTTGTTAATATGACCTTACTGAACTACTTTCTAATTAAACGCATTTAAAAATGAACTTGTTTCCGATTACCTCAAATTAGTAGATACATCAAGCATATCGTGTTCATATTTTTTATGCCTCTGCCATCGAGTTTGTATCATGAAAAGGAGTCAATTGTTTACTTACCGGCTTAGATATACATCTCATACCCAATTTAATTTAATTTAATTTAGTTTTTCTACTCCCGTCTGTAAAATCCTTAATTACCCACCGATCTAGCGAGCGGGAAGCGTCACTTTACCATGTCAGTTTCCTTTCCCACGAATCTGAGCCACTTCGTACATTTCCGGGATTTTACCGCACGGATTTGGGAGCAATCGGATGTTTTCGGAGATATTTCCCACGCTTTGATTTTGACGTTTGTCAATTCTGACGGTCATTTCAGTCAATGTATTCGTGTTGTTTTACGAAAATGTAGCCAAAAACTAACGGTCGTAGAAAAAGTATAGCATGCAACACGTTCGGTAAACTTTTTAACTCGCTCGTTTATTAAATACTCGCTCCGCTCGTGTCAAATAAACTCATGAGTCAAATGCCGTTTACCGCACTTTTTCTCTAAAAGTCGACGGATAAGTTGTTGAATAATTTTGTCAACATTACACAATTCTTTAGTATACCTTTCAAACGACACATAGGAAAATACCAATTTATTTAAATGCGTCCAAGCATCGAGTCTTATTAAAATTTTTCTAATTTCCTCGGGCTTAAATTAATAACGAATTTAGACTTTTAAAATTTATTGGGTCCGAATAACTTTCTTTTAGATTTGATGGGGAATTTTTTAATAGCAAATTAACTCGAAACCAAAAAATCAACTAAGAACCAGTTTGCAATTGCTCGAAAACCCCAGCAAAATTGCGGTTAAAGATTCATTTTTGCCTTGCGAAATTTAAGGTTCAATTTCGTAAAGTACTACTCTAAAGATAAATGAAGATAAAGGCGACAAATCGTAGTTCTTGTGTAATTGTTTAGTAATGATAATTTTAATCGGTGGTTCATTTGTAATTCTGCGATACAAATGTATTCATAGTATTTTTCGCATAAAATGCACGACATTTGCGAATCAGTGGATATATAAACGAAAGTATTTAGGTGGCCGGACGTGGTTTCATTATTTAGCAAAAATGCACAGTAACAAGCAAATACCGCCGGTGGCAGATCAGCCAATAGATTAAAGCATTTTACGGAGAGATTTTCATTTTGACCGCTCGGAATGTCCGTAACTCCTGCTATTCAGATTTTCTTAGAAAATGTAGACCTGATGCGCGTGCAGCGGACCAAATGAAATATCGCTTGCCCTTTGCACTTCGGCAATATTTCCGTTGATAAAACTTTTAATAAAAATGAACGGAAAACTTTTCCGTTTCCGGAGGGCAAATCGGCGCACCAATCGTTTATAAAAATTGTAAGAGGACGCGGGGATACCAACTATAAGATTTATTTTTTAGGGATTCATTCTAATCAATAGTGCGCAAGGTGCCATTACATGACATCAACTTCTTTACATTGTCGCGAGTCATTTTTGAGGTACTTTATTAGCCGGGCGATCGGATGTATTAGTAGATTTGAAACACTAAAAACTAAAATTCATCGTTTCGGAAAAATAATAATGTACACATTGAGAAACTTCTTCACACACACGTTTATTAAGTACTTGCTCCCTTGCGCTCTGCCCGTGATTAAATAAACTTGTTGATACGTAATTAAATGCAATTTAGTGTAACTTTAGGGTTATTTGTTTTGGGTAAAGCTTTAAATTATACGGTGATCTCTAGTGACGTGCTCGGAGCACCACAGATAACACTTTGATTTTGTTCATTGTACCCCCGTTTACCTTTTCATGGATGAATTATTACCGTAGACTTTCTAAACATTTAATTTAGTTGTACCATTCCAAGCATTACGTAAAGTAGTGTGTTAGGTAACGTATTATCTACTTAACAGTATTTAAAAATAAACTTTGTTTGCGATTATTTCACATTAGTATTGCAAGAACTTCATGTTCACATGAAAGAGCACTTTACTTACTTGCATATTTTATACTGGTTTTGTATAATTAAGTTTAAAAGTAAGCTCAAGGACAAGTTTTTGTCTCAAATCCAAATTGATTAGTTAATTACCGATATTTTAGCTGTGTAACACTGAAACTTTTGTAATAAATATACGAGATCTGACAATTAAGTAATGCGACAAAATTGAAAAATCGACTATATTTAAAAATTAAGGTACATCGATGTGATCCCCTTCAAAGTAGTCCCCTCCCGCACTTATACACTTATTCCAGCGAGTTTTCCAGTTTTCGTAACAATAATGTAACACTTCTTTTGGGACCACTCCGAGCAACCTCGTCACGGATTCTTGGATATCTTCAACGGCGTCAAAATGTCGATCATTGACGAATTTTTTTATGTGGGGGACTAGGAAGAAGTCGCAGGGTGGCATGTCCGGTGAATAACTCGGTTGCGGTAACGTTGCGATGCCTTTAGACACCAAGAACTGAGAGACACTGAACGCAGTGTGGCAGGGAGCATTGCGTGATGCAGAACCCAAGTCTTCGCGATCTCTGGACGCACTCTGAGCACCCTTTTTTGTAACCTTTCGAGCACATTGCGATAAAATACTTGCTGTCGAAGAAGCAAATCAACATGCTTTTTATTTCGTACTTGCTCATTCTCGCTTTCTTTGGCCTTGGTGCTCCAGGGGACAGTCACTGTTGGCTTAGTCGTTTAGTTTCGGGGTCATATTGAAAGAACCAACTTGCATCACCAGTAATCGAGAAGAGTAGGAACACTTTCAACCTGCTCGAGAAAATCTTGAGCGATGTTCATTCGGCGGGCTGTTTGCTCGTCTGAAAGGTTCTTCGCAACCATTTTCGCGCACTGCTTTTTCATGGCGAAATCTTCAGTTAAAATATTTCTGTTTCCCGATTAATATTCAACTCGTCAGTCAACATTCGAATGGTTAGTCGCCGGTCTTCACGAACAAGGGCGCGCACGCGCTGCGCAATGCTCTCACGGTCATTTTTAAAATCGTCATACCACAGAGGCATCTGACTATGACTGAGGGCATCACTACCAAACATTTTAAGCACTTTTTCATAAGTTTCTGTCGCGGTTTCACCGAGTTTCGCACAACATTTTGTCGCGCACCTTGCTCTAAATTCCATTTTCGTGATATGCACTTGTCGCGCGTTATTACAAAACAATAAACAGCAGGCGAAGAAATGAGAGTAGGGATCTGCTATTACGGTGGCGGAGCTACAGGTTCGCAGTGTCAGCACAGGCCGATAAACAAAATCGGTCGCATAATTGTCAGAGCTCGTAAATTGTTTTTTACTTCATTTTTGCAAGTATTTATTATTTTATTGAGAAATGTAATTTTCCCAAAAAATTATATCAAAGCCATTGCATATTGTGCTAATGAATTCGTGTTTTGCCAAATATGTACTCCCAGATAGCGGTAGCACGTGGTCAAATACGGCCGTGTTTCGCAAAATCGATAGTTCGGATACTAAAGTGCATACCTTTGTTTCATCATTTTTCACTCGGTTTTCAGGATTTTCGAGTAAATTATTCAGAATTTCTCGGGAAACGCGATAAATCATCCATGACTGAAGCTTGACGGCGTTCTATATGTTTTCATCTCTACTTTTGCCGAAATGCTCCATCTTCTCTACCCTCATATATTTTACGGCCTCGAGAGAACTAAGGAAAGTTCATGTTATATGAACGAGACAACTGAAAAGCGTATTATTGAACGCTCATTCTTCAAAATCGTAGAAATAATAAACGCTTTCGTTTTCTATCTTGATATATGAATCTGAAAAATGCACTTTCCAATGTTCATTACACTTACTTTTAGTATAAAGTGAGCGTTTATAGCCCGAAGAATATGTAAAAAAAAATGTAACAGCAGAAATTTTAACCCATCCAAGACATCAAATTAATAAGAGTGTGTGTAAAATGATCAACAACAAATTTAATCACTCAACTACTAGTATTTCTTTTTGATGAAACATTTAACACTTCTTGTTGGACATAAAAATTTTGAAATAAACTTAAGGGTTTCGCTATTTTTATGACAGTTGTTGAGCTGTTATTGCCACAAACATCAGCCATGAATGTAACGAATTTGTTTCCACTTACTTCAGATGTAATTTAAAACATCAATAAATAATAAAAAATAGGTTTACTATTGAACCACTCTTGTATTATCAATATAAAAATCGTTTTACAAGGCAATATATAACAATCTACATGTGCAATATAAAAATACTTTTTATATTAATTAAAACCGTTAGTGGAAACCAGGACACTCAGAGAGAGAGACTCGATTGCTTTTATTTAAAATTGTCGGAAATTATCT